GGGGGGGGGGAGGGAAGGGAAGGGAAGGGAAGGGAAGGGAAGGGAAGGGAAGGGAAGGGAAGGGAAGGGAAGGGAAGGGGAAGGGGAAGGGAAGGGAAAGGGAAGGGAAGGGAAGGGAAGGGAAAGGGAAGGGAAGGGAAGGAAAGGGAAGAAAAGAGAAGAGGCAGGGCAGCTCTCAGGTTTTTGGATTTGATTTTTAAAAATGCATATTTAACAGAACATTTAACGTGAGTTTTTTATTATTATGAAAATGTGACAAGAACATATCTTTATATATACATATATGTGTACATGTACATATATATATATATGTGTGTGTGTATGTATAGTAAAAGGAGCTTAGAATATATATGATATGTTATTTGATAGGCCTGATCAAAGCAGAAGACACATGCCTCTGACTAAAGACAATTTCCCTAAGGCTCAACTTTCTCATCTCTAAAATGACATTAATATAGTTCCTGCTTATCATGGTTGTTCTAAGAATACTATAAGAAAATGGTATGCTTGCAACAAGCACCCATTATTACTAAAGCTCTAACTACTGACTATCAGAACAAGGAAATTACGGAGTTGGGGAAAGAGTAGGGAAAGTGCTTGCTTTGTAAGTATGAGGACTCAAGGTTGAAGCCCAGAACCTGGTTTTAAAAAGCAGGCATGGTGTTGAGCACTTACAATCCTAGGGCGGTGAGGTGGAGGCCAAACAGATCCCTGGGGCTTGTTTGCAAACCAGTGTAGCCTATTTCGTGAGTTCTAGGCCAGTGAGAGATCATGGCTCAAGGACAAAACAAAAAACTAAACCAACAAGATGAGAGTTGACACCACAGTTGCCTAGCCTCCACACACACTCAGACATGGGTGCTTGCAAATGCCTCCAAACACAAACAGGTGAGCATATGGAAGTAAAGGATGATATGGTGAGACACAGAGATATCAAGTGATCAATGGTGAAATCAGAGGATTTACTGAATGCAGGTACTGCCCAGAGACGTGACGGTCCATGATGGCCACAGGAGCCCATGAGGGATCTCCACTGCATCCACTCCATGAGCCAGCCATCAGATGAAACTGTCCTAAGAAGTCGCCCTTGCAATGATCATAATAATCCCCATTACCTTCTAGTTGACGCTTCAGTTTTCTCAAATCCTTTATAAGGTCTTCAAATTTGACTTGGGAGGCCAGGAAGAAATCCTGTGGCTCAGGCAGTGGGAAAACACTCTTGTCTGTTCCAGCTTCCTAAAAGACAGGATAAGCAAGAGAATGTTCTACTTCCCACATGTCGCTTTAGTTGACATTCCAAAGCATCAGTGAGAAAAAAAAAAAGCTCAGTCACATGGTTAAAAGGAATCATGGTACTGCTTTCCTAAACCAGGACCCTGTCTGTACTTTGAAGCTTTTGACTCCATTATGGTATCTTTTTGCTCTTCCTGGCTTTGAGATTCGCTATGGTGCTGGCTTGGGCTGCATTTCGATTTCGATCTTACCTTATGAGTGCAAGAGGAAACTGTCAGGTATATTCTACTCTAGTTCTCTCAATTCCCATGGAAAAAGACGGGGGGAACACATGAAAGTACTTACACTGAAAGTCTCTGTTTGAGTTACACATGCTAGCAATTAGATAACTCATCTTGGGGTGTGCCAGTGGGTGTGGGGTGGATAAGAAGGCACTGGATAGGAGATTCTACCCCTTCCTTTACTCACCCCTTCTGCAGCTTAAGCTATGATGAATGTGTGCACAATATGACCTGTGTGTGTATGTAAAGTGCATCTAACTGCTGTTGGCTTATTGTAAGAGTTATCTGCAGCAGGTATGGTTGGGTATAGTTTTGACAAGGTCTACAGCTTTATCTGACGGATGATCTGAGCTGTGAGTTATCTTAAGTGACAAACACTTCAGATATACTGAAACCTAAGGAGAACCTTATATATCCTCTGCAGCCTAGGCTATTTTCTCCTGAGTTGTTTAATGTAAGCTCTGTCTTGCATATCTTAGACAGTCTTTGCTTGTTTCTCTCTCTGCACACACGACTTTGCCAGCTGCCCTTCGCATTCCATCTCTCCTAGTGCCATCAGAAGTAACTCCAAATGCCAAAACTGCTTTACAAGGCACTTTCTGATCTGGCCTCTGTCTACAGTACCAGCTTTAGACCTACCTTCCCCCAACTTCAAGTCCTACCCCTGAACTTTCCTGAAACAAGTGAAAAAGCAAGTCTCTTGCCTCTAGGCCTTTACCTACAAAGCTGTTCTTTTTCATCTCCCTAGAATTTCCTTATGACTCCTTGTTCATACTCATCTTTCAAGTATTAACACAAACAGTACTTCCTCAAAGATTTCTAGGACCTCACCAAACTTGTGTGTTTCTCTGTGTTATTCAAGAGTGTCTGATCCTATCGCCATAGCACTTATTGCTATTAATTTAGAAATTTAGCTTTAGACTGTATGTCTGATGTGTCACTGGAGTATAAACCCACCAATGTAAGGACTCTTTCTTACACTTGGTACAGTATATAATATCTGATATATCAATAAATGGTTTTGGTTGGTAGGCACCACAGCAGACAGTTCATGAAATATTCCTCTGTGAAGTCAGCAAGTTTACCATAAGACACATAACTATTTTAACATATATAATATGTGTGTATGCATTTAGTTTTTGAGAATTAATTTTATGAATTTCATACATGTATAAGGTGTGTTTGAGCAAATCTATTCCCTCTTCCTATGCTCCTTAAAAATTTCCCTTAACTTCTTTTCTCTTCCAACTTTTCCTGTTTTCTTTTGAGAATACTGAGGCCACTTAGTACTGTCTTGTGTGCAAAAGCAGGTAGGATCGTCCCTGAAGAAATGTCTTGTCAGTAAAGGGTGGGACTTTTTGAGCTCCTCCACCATCCACATTGGAATGTGGGCTGTCTTGACCTTGTACAGGTCTTCTGCATGTAGTGTGATACAGAAGTCCTGCTACTGACCACTCCACAGTACCAGTCATGTAATTTATGACTATGTTTTCCTATCGTTTCAGGAATTGCCTGGACCCTTACCCATTCTCTAAGTCAGCAATTCTCAACCTGTAGGTCACAACTCCTTTGGAGATTGAATGACTCTTTCACAGGAGTTACTTAAGACCATCAGACAACACAGATCTTTATGATTCATAACTGTAGCAAGATTACAGTTATGAAGTAACAACATAATTTTATGGTTTGGGGGTCACCACAACATGAAGGGTCGCAGCACTAGGAAGGTTGAGAACCACTACTCTAAGTCAGGTTCATTTGGATGTTTGGGGAAGGTGACTGCCTTTATTTTATCAGTACTTAATCTACCACATACTTCTCAATCTTCCTATATTTATTTTTATACTTTAAAAACATCTGGAACATTGTGAATGTCAAGTGTGAATGTGATGTGAAAAGCCGTCTAAGGCACTCATGGAGACCCACACTGGAGGAATTCAGCTCTAATACTCCCTAAGCTGTGTGTCCATCTCTACCATGGCTTCAGGTTTTTTCATAAGGTGAAAAAAGAGAAAGTGCTGGTGATGAGTCAGCCTGGTAAGAGGTCTGTCTAGTCAAAGCACTCAGAGTTGAGAAAGTGTCATCTCTGCATGCTTTTCTTCAGCCTATACAGACCTATACATCCAATGTCAGGCAGAAGAATCAGGAAGCTGAAAGGACTCACCTTTCCTCAGGTCATTGCTAATCATCACAGACCACAAAAAAAAAAAAAAAAAATCAATTCTTCTGCCCAAGGGAAAAGGAGCTTCATAAAATACACAGTTCCACACTTTCCTTGAGTGCTCTGTGCTCTGCAGTGAACACTGGGAGGGCACTGCACAAATGTGGATGGGGCTTAATCTGCAACTATACTTACTATATTTTGTTCCACAGAGGCAACTCTATTGCATCCTGCACTCTGACTTCGAAGCTCTCACTTTGGAAGCCTGAGTGAAGATTCTTTAAAGGTCTCCAATGATTCATTTTGCTTGTTCTGCGGATAGTGTAAAGTCACCAATGATCCTGACATTGCTCCTTTGAGAGCTGCAATTCCCTGTTGACTTTTTAGCATCTACCTCGGTGGTGTGCAATAAACATTAACCACAGATTGTTAATGTAAACATCATCAAAATTGACAGATGTAAGGCACTAGGTGTGAGGAAGTAGGTGGTTTTGTTTTTGTGGAGAGAGAGAGAGAGAGAGAGAGAGAGAGAGAGAGAGAGAGAGAGAGAGACAGAGAGAGAGACAGAGAGAGAGAGAGAGACAGAGAGAGAGAGAGAGAGAGACAGAGAGAGAGAGACAGAGAGAGAGAGAGAGAGAGACAGAGAGACAGAGAGAGAGAGAGAGAGAGAGAGAGAGAGAGAGAGAGAGAGAAAGGTTGGGCTTCAGGAAATAGCAGCAGCAGGCATGTCTGAGCATACTCCAGGTTCTGACAGCAGGTACCTACAAAGCAGAATTACCTCGAGGAATCCTAGGAGGTGACATTTTTAATTCCAATTGGGCAAGATCAGATTTGCCTCTATCCAGTGATCTATTCTTCATAGAAAGGCTGAAATTAGTCCATGTCATATGAGAGTTGCCTTTGTGGCAGAAGAATTTATTTTTTTTGTGGTCTGTGATGATTAGCAATGACCTGAGGAAAGGTGAGTCCTTTCAGCTTCCTGCTTCTTCTGCCTGACTTTGGATGTATAGGTCTGTATAGGGTGAAGAAAAGCACGGAGAGATGACACTTTCTCAATCCTTTAAGGATTAGGATGCAAAAAAATACTTATGGAAGGAGGGCCATGAAATATTGACCAAGTGATTGGCTTTACTGTAGTTCCCACCTTTACAAATGCACATTCATCATGCATAGTAATTGATGGTTAAAAAGAATCATAGCCCCAACATCCTAAAATAATAATGAAAATGTATTATTACATCTCATTCCAGGATTTGAGTGTATATGTGTGTGAGTGTGTGTGTGTGTGTGTGTGTGTGTGTGTGTGTGTATGTGTGTGTGTGTGTGTGTGTGTGAGTGTGTCTTGCTAGTTTTGTGTCTCAACTTGACACAAGCTGGAGTAATCACAGGGAAACAAGACTCTCTTGAGGAAATGCCTCCATGAGATCCAGCTGTAAGGTAATTTCTCAACTAGTGATCAAGGGTGGGAGGGGGCATTGTGGGTGGTGCCATCCCTGGGCTGATAGTCCTGGGTTCTATAAAAAAGCAAGCTGAGCAAGCCAGGGGAGGCAAGCCAGTAAGTAACATCCCTCCATGACCTCTGCATCAGCTCCTGCTTCCTGACTTGCCTTACTTCCAGTCCTGACTTTGGTGATGAACAATGTGGAAGTGTAAGCTGAATAAATCTTTTCCTCGCCAACTTGCTTCTTGGTCATGATGTTTTTGTGCAGGAATAACCTGACTAAGACACACACACACACACACACACATATGTATATGTGTATGTATATACATGTACTATATATATACACTCACACATATATACATACACACACACACATATTTGAAACACATGCATATAATGCATATAATTTTTCCTTGGTTTTTTGAGACAGGGTTACTCTGTATACTCCTGGCTGTCCTGCAACTTACTTTGTGGATCAAACTGGCCTGGAACTCAGAGGTTCACTTGCCTCTGTCTCCCTGCTAGAATTAAAGGTGTGTGGTCTTCTCTGTGCATGCATATAGTTTACAAACAGACAAAATACTCTCCAGGGCCACTACATTGTGTCTTAAACACTTTCAATAGCGGTATGCTATCCAATTTGATGATTCTAACATGATTCATTTGACTTCATGGTTATCCACGGGATACCTACTATTGCTATTACTAATTATCGAAATTATTATAATTATCTTCAGTTATAAATCCCTAGAAAATGTATACCTACTTCCAGACCTTTTGATACAGGAGAGCTGAAATCTTGTGAGCACATATGTATCAATTAAGAAAAGGTATCCCCTAAAAGACTGCTGGATTCTGTTGTTTTTAATTCCTGGACAATCGTCCATAATGTGATTTACATAGTACCTGCATCATTTTTACCTTTTGAGAAACCATGCTCAGGGATTCTAAAAAGCCCCTAACCTTGGCAATACATTTTTTTTTAACTTCTAGAGTGACTGTCCTAATGGGTGTGTTAGCATATCTCACCACGGCTGTGACTACTAATCATTTATGCTGGACATTTTTGGTATACATGTTGATCATTACTGTGCTCTTTATTTATATTAAATTATATTATTTCTTCATATGGGTCTACTCTTCACTGAAAAGACCATAATATGTCATTGTGAGTTTTCTCCCCAAGGCCTCCAAATATGTTATTTCCTGAGGAGAATATTAAGAGGGAAACCATAATTTTATAAAATGACATGAGTTAGGAGGCTAGAGGGATGGCCCTGTGACTAAGAGCATTTGCAGAGGACCTGGATCTACTTGCCACCATCTACACAGCAGCTCATAACAAGCTGTAACTCTAGATCCAGGGGTCTGATGCTTTCTTCTGGCTTCTGCAGGTGCCATGCATGTACATGCTATATTTATATGCAGACAGACAAACCTCATATGTGTAAGATAAAAATAAATAAATCTTAAAAGAAAAAAGACTTGAGACAAAGATAGTTCTGGTCCAGGTGGAAAACAGAGTCTCAGGTCTTGACTCACTTCAGGTGGAGCGCCATTTCTGTTTGAGTACAAACATTGTATTGGAGGCACACATAAAAGACTGTGAGATGGTTAAGGGCAGCGTTCATTCCTCAAGCTGTGGGTTGTGACCCATTTGGAGTAGTACAACTCTCTTACAGGGGTCCCATACCACATATCCAACATATCAGATACTTACATCACAATTCATAACAGTAGCAAAACTAGAGTTATGAAGTAGCAGTGAAATTATGTTACGGTCGGGGTCACCACAACATGAAGAACTGCATTAAAGAGCCGCATTAGGAAGGCTGAGAACCACTGGTCTAGAGAGAACTGCCTAGAGCCAGGTAGACCTAGAGTTAGGACATGAGGTGGGATGTACAGGAATTCTCTGAGAGAGTGGCTTTAATCCCCCCAGGAGCTGGGCTAAGCAGGAACCAAAATGGAGTGACCCTGGAAACAACTTAGCTGGCAGGAAGCAAACGGCAACTGAGGAGTGTGCATCTCCACAGCCGGGTAACTAACAATCATTAAAACTTTGACGGAAAAAAGGGAGACGTTAACTGGGGTGCAAATAAGCCTGGTTGCAGATACACAGGTTGAGTATCAGGCAGGGTGGGAGAAATTACTAAAGCGTTCATGAGCACTGTAGTTTGCCTGCTAGGCAGAATTAGACCTGGGAATAAGGCACTAGAATTTTGGTTTTACTTTTGTTCCTGCCTAGGAGCTTTGCTCTGGTTTCAGGGCTAAAGTCCTTGCCACACTTTCTCTTGAGACTTTTGTCATTTTATATCAATTGCTTTAAAAAAAAACAAACAAAACAAAAAAAACAACTAACAACAGCCTTTTGTCCTTCACAAAGTGAGGACTCTCTGTTCTTAGTTCACTAAGAACAGAAGAAATAAAGGAGAAAATTGTGTTTAGGAATAGTCTCATGGAAGTGCTTAATTCTAATTTAAATATAGTCTAAGCAGAGAGAATGTTTTTGTTTTGTTGCATTCTCAAGTTTGGAATCTCTAACTTGTTTCCAGATACATTGTTGGTTGAATTTTTGTTATTAGGGAGGGTGTGGTTACATAGTAAGTTTTGGGACAGCCTGGGATATATATAGTGAGATCTTGTCCCCCCAAACAAACTAACCAATAAAAAATAAGAAGGCTGGAGAGATAGCTCAGCAGCTATGAGAGTTCACTGCTCTTATAGAGCATCCAGGCTTGATTGCCAGCATCAATGTGGCAGCTTGCAATTGCTGTAACTGCAGTTTCAGGGGATCTGACACCTCTTCTGGCCTCTGCAGCCTCCTGAACACAAAAACTCACACAGGCAAACATGTATGTGCATGAAAATATGAATAAATAGATTAATAAGTCATTTTTCTTTAAAAAAAAAGAAGAAGAATTACAGTGTTTTAAAGATTTTCTGAATGTTGTTCAGTATCTAAGTAAATCTTGAATGGATCTAGAGTTCAGAAACGTCCACAACCTGGTCATGGGGTCATGAAGGGGTCTTTCTGAAGCTATGTTCTATGGTAGATTGAGATTCAGCAGCCTTGTGTCTCTTGGACACTTCCTTTCTCTAAAACCCTGGGGTACCCTTCATCTTCATTGGGGCTCTCAGATACAGTGTTGCATTGGAGGAAAAGCCATCCCTCCATAAATAGCCAGTATCCAATTTCTGAATGCTAGCAATACATTAGAGGTGAAAACCCCGACAGTCCCAGTGCCATTTCCTACCTGATCATAGTACCGCAGGTAGTACTTCACAACATAGTCCACCAGATTCATCCCATTGTCCTAGGTTTTAAAGAGAAACTCAAATGACAGCTGTTCACAGAAGACCCTGCATGCTTCCCAGTTGAGACCTGAGATCCCAGTTCTCTGCACTTATAATTTTATGAGATGAGTCATATTTCTGTTATAGACTGACCAGATTTTCCTTCCTCTTAGTTTAATCCACTTTTTAAAAAATGCCAGCTATAAAAATAAATGACACTACATCATCTTTTGTGGGAGGAAAAATTATAAAACAAGACAGATAATCCAGGAGACCTCTGAGATAATGGCAGAGACCAATGTACAAACAAAAACAAACAAGCAAGCAAACAAACAAAAAATATTGTCCAATATTTCCTGGCATGCTGCCAAGACAGGAGGGGGTGGTAAATTCTGAAGGGAGCTGCATACTAGAAGAGAAAACCATCCCTCCCTTCCAAATTCTCAGAAAATGTGTGCTCTTAATGGAGTGAAAAAACAATCAGGACCAGCTTAAAAGGGAAGCCAAGCCACTTTATTACCCTAGAAAGCCAGGGGGAGTGGGCCCTCCCACAAGGCAGCCTTTGTGTCCTGTTCACAGGGGTCTAATTCTAATTTGCCAGTGTATTTCCCTTCCCTGGCCACCCCCTGCCCCCATGGGACGCCCAGATATGGGCTGGTTGTTTCTAAAAAGGTGGCTCTGCAGGGGTGTGGAGCCAAATGATAATCAGGCTCAGAGAGTTGACAGGAGACCCCAGCCCCAATTGTTGTGGGCAAAAGAATAATTCAAATACTAGGCTCAACGGTGTCTGCCACTCAAGAATGAGTAAATTGCAAGTGGCCAATACTAAATCCAAACAGATTCTAGCCTCTGTGGTATGACTGCTACAGTATGCTGTTTTATCTTGTATTGTAGTAGCAGCTCAACACATAATCACATATGTTACAGCTAAAACAGAAAATGGATTTTATCGCTGAACATGAGGTCTGATCTGAAAATCCTACCATTTTCAAGTTTTCAAGTCAATAGAAAGTGCAAAGGGAAAACCAAAACTACATGCTTTCAGATAAACAATTGCCATCAAAGGAAAGGTAAGATAAACGGGTCAGTCTGTAACATTTGGTTTTAAGTTATAGGTTCAGAAGAAAAATAGCCATAGCACATAGATAGTCAGAAAAGTAAATAACTACCCGGCTCTTGACATCTTTGAGTTTGGGCAGGATTTCTAAGCTATATCCATCTGCTTGCCCTCGCGTCCTGTTCCCTCCATTCATATAATTTCCAAAAGCCAGAATGAGAGCTAAGATATCCTTCACACTCTTCATGTGCAACAGGCCCTGCAATGGCAAACACCAGTTATCATGGTCTGAACTGCAAACATAGTCACATTTGCTCAACAGCTAACCCTCATTAAACTAACCAAGTCCCTTAGGTGGCTTCGTACTAGTTGTATTTACAGTTGACAAATATAAGATACATTTTGCTACAGCAGTATCTTGGTGTGTGTGTGTGTGTGTGTGTGTGTGTGTGTGTGTATGTGTCACAAACACCCACAGTTTCCTATTTGTGCAGCAAAGTTATAAGCAGAGTATGATCTCATGCTGATGAGGGCTGAACCTTTGTGTTTACTTTTCATTATAGGCAGTTTTAATCTTGAGAAAGTACTTACAGGTTAATAACGTAGACTGTAGCTAATTTTTAATAACTTCTAAAGCTGAAAGGGATCAAATATCTTTTCAGGATACCTTTTGGGACTATGGAGCTAAATACAAAGAGTACATTAAAATTTAGGATAGCAGTGCCAGAGTGAGTGTAGTCCTCAGACATGAGTTATGATAATGAACTTTAAGCTCAGAGGTGGGTAATGGTCCTTAAATTTTTTCAAAATGTATCTTCTCTAGGAGTTTGCTTCATATTCATGACACGCACATGTCGGGTGGTTGTGGGGATGTGCATGCAAGCTTGTGGAGGTCAGAGGACAACTTTCAGGAACTGGTTCTTTCCTTTGAGTCCAAAGATCCAACTCAGGTCATCAGCCTTTGTGGCAGGTGACTTTACCTGCTGAGAATCTTGCCAGCCCCACTTTGTCTTTGTTTATTTTAGGAATAATAAAAATAATAATAATAATAAAGTTCAGAACTGGGTAGACTTCTTCCCTAGTCTCTCAGGGGTTATTAGTGCGTGCATCATATTTTGGAAGTGGTTGTTCTTTCTTCATTGAAAAATCTTGTATGTGTTGGGGAGGGGGACATGCTTCCTGACAAACATTGAAATATTACAGATTTGTGGAACATACTTGACGCATGATCTTAAGAACATGGGTGTTAGTTAAAAGGCGGGGGTTACAATTTAGCTTTACCAAGTACAGAGTGTAGTGGACACAGAAATGTAGGTACCATTCACTCATGATTATAGTTACTTCAAGCCTCCAAAATTTTCATTTTATGATGTAGACAGATTTCAGAAGCTCATGTGCATGGGTTCCAAGTAAAATCTGTTTGTGATTTGAAGAGTTAAATAGGAAGGAATCAAGCTGCACTGTTTTGCTTTTAGTTTTTGGTGCCAGTATGTACATGAAAAGATATTGACTTTTTTTTTTTAAAGAAGAAATCTGTAAAAAGCCTTTCTTTCCACTCTTCTGTCTCTTCTTCAGTCTGTCTCTCTCCTTTCCTTCTTCTCCATCTTCCACATACTTGGATGGACAAACTCTCTTAGAATAGTGCACAATGTAAAGTAAGTCATTAATGTTGGGTCTCCCTCACCTCTCATTTCCTCATTTCCTACCAATAATGGCAAACCAAACATTTAAACATCAGACATACCTTTGAGGCCCGTGTGACAATCTCTACTTTTCGATGTAAGGATGTTATACCCTCAGAGAATACAGCCCTGAAGATTATGCACTGGGCACGTTCAGCAAAATTGGGAATCTGGGCTAACTCATGCAAAAATCTGTAAAAATAAAAACAAGTCATTTTGCTTTATGCATAACATATTTTTGGGAGAAAACTGTAAGAAAAAGAGCCAATGATACTGATCTGCCATGGGAGATCATAATTTCGGTTTTGCTTAGGCCATGAGAAATGCTACTAGTAGGTATGGCCTTGTTGGAGGAAGTGTGTCACTGTGTAGGCAGGCTTTGAGTGTTCCTAATGCTCAAGTTTCACCCAGTGCAGAAGAGTCATTCTCCTTCTGCATGCTTTTGGATCAAGCTGCGGAACATTCATTTCCTTCTGCAGCACCATTTCTGCCTAGAGTCTGCCATGCTTCCTGCCATGATGATAATGGACTGAACCTCAGAAACTGTAAGCCAGCCCCAATTAAATGTTTGCATTTATAAGAGTTGCTTTGGTCATGTCTGTTTATTTATTTATTTATTTATTTATTTATTTATTTATTTATAAGAGTTGTTTTGGTTATGTCTCTTCACAGCAATAAAACCCTAAGACAGAAGTCAGTACAAGGGACTGGGGTATTGCTGATATTGATAGTATTGGGGTATTGATAATCCTGATTGTGTTTTTGTTTGGAGGAAAGTGGATTTGAGGAGTTGGGTTTGGGAAACATTGGGATGCTTTAAGTAGGATTAAATTCAGCATATCTACTAGGAATATGAAAGGCATTGGTGGTAAGGGTGATTGAACTGTACAGCCCTTAATTCTAGAGGATTCAGAAGAGAAGAATTTTAGTATGATGCTTGGAGACCATTCTTATGATGTTTTGGTAAAGAATGTGGCTGCTTTTCTGGGGAGTCTGCCTGAAGCTAAGGTAAAGAGCTTCACATTGGTTGCATTAAGGAAAAGGGTCACAAAAAAGCCTAGAATAGACTTTGTCCTGAGGCTCAATCTTATGAAGAGAGTTTTGATCAAGTATAGCAAACTGAGACAGGAAAAATACAAAATACATGGTTCAAGTATTAAAGTGGCACCATGAAGTAGAACTGAGCTGAATCCTGTGTTCAAGGAAATAAATATTTAAAGGGAGTGTTGACTTCAGGGCAAGATCCCACACAGCTAAGCTTATTGTTTATGTGTTTACAGTTGAACAGTCATAGTTACATCATATTAGGCATTATTAACTGGTCATTGTTTTCATTTGGACTTTTAATCTGGAATAAACTGCAATCCAGAAATGGAATGCACACCTGTCATCCAGCTTTGATCCAGATCTTGAGGCATAGTGGCCATGAAAAGCTTAGGTCCAGGTATGGTGGTATATGCTTTTAATCACAGGAAACAGAGACAAGCAGATCTCTGAGTTCAGGATCAGCTTGGTACAGAGCAAGTTCCATAGGGAAAAGCTTAGGTCTATGTGTGCTGAGCTGAACCATGCCTTTAATCCTAGCAGTAGACAAAGGCACACAGATCTCTGAATTCAAGAGCAGTCTACAGTGCAAGCTCTAGGATTCCAAAGCTTAGGCAGTGAAGGAGTTGGAAAACAAAAAACTAGTAAAGATGTAATAGAAGAAGGGAGCCATGTTCCAGACTCAGCAAGTAGCAGAACTCAGCAGCTTTGGCCATGTGGCTCTAGCTTTAGAGTCAAGAGTAGATGGAGTTACTGAGACAATTGATGCTGGTTAGTTGGAGCAAAGAAATTAGCAGTGATTAGAAGAGACCCGCATCACTGAAGTGAAATCTTTTGGAAAGTGTTTTCTGAAAGCACAAAGAAGCTGAGTTCCAGAGACAGCCAAGGGTGTACCTTGTACTGCAGCTGGACTTGGTAATAGGTCAGAATCATCTAGGTGGTACTGTTTTTGAAGGCATGAAGGGGTCATGGAGAGCAGCTGAAGATGGGCACTATGAGAGGCTAGGAAAGGCCATTGGTGAAGGTACAGTCTCAGTTGCAGTTGAAGACACAGGATTAAAGGGTCATGCAAAGAAGCTGATGATTGGCATCATAAAGAGAGCCTATGAGAGGCTATTGGGGAAGCTTAGTTGAAGTGGAAGACCCTGGAGTATTGGAAATGTCAATGCCATGGAACAATCACCAACAGCAGCAGCAGCAGTGGAGTGGAGTCAACCAGACCCTACAGTGCTACTGAAGCAGCACTGGAGAAGTGACTCAAGCCTTTTGGAGGAGCCCAGATCATGTGTGGATCCCAGACACTGGAACAAGAAGCTGTAAAGTTGATGATGCCTTGGATACCTAAAGATGTTAGAGATGCCAGAGAGATGGAATACATGTTGGGGACTGCTGCTAACAGGGAGTAGAACCAGCCCAAGAGAAAGAAGTTTGTTGAGTCAACAAGGATGAAAGGAGTTGAAGATCTGAAGAGTGCTTTTACATCAGACATGGAGATACAGAGTTTAGAGTTTTTCCAGCTGGCTTTTGTTTTTGCTTCGGCTTTTAGTCCAGTATTTTTTCACTATGATGTTTTGGAGTTGTAATGTATATCCTGTGATGTTGGAGGTATGTAATGTGATTTTTTTTATTTTGATTTTATATGGGATTACAGTTAAGTGATTGGATAAGTCTCAGAAGAGACTTTGAACTTTGGACTTCTAACATTGTAGAGACTGTTATAAACTGTAGGACTTGTAAAGTTGGACTAAATGTATTTTGAATTATTCTATGGCTAGGTATGGCTCCCATAGACTAATTATGTTTGGACAAGCCTGTGGGGGCCAGGGAGTAGAATATAATGGCTTGAATAAGCTGAGCCCATGGGAAGTGCTACTAGTAGGTGTGGCCTTTTGGAGGAAGTGTGTCACTGTGTAGGCAGGATTCGAGAGCTCCTAATGCTTAAGCTCTACCCAGTGGAGAAGAGTCAGTCTCCTTCTGTATGCTTTTAGATCAAGATGTAGAACTCTCAGTTCCTTCTCCAGCACCATGTCTGCCTGGACTCTGCCATGCTTCCTGTCATTATGATGATGGACTGAAGCTCTGAAACTGTAAGCCATCCCCAATTAAATGTTTGCCTTTATAAGAGTTGCTTTGGTCATGATGTCTCTTCCCAACAATAAAACACAAACTAAGGCACACTCCAAGAATACAGGTCCCATTGCAGACAGTGAGGCCTCTGTCTGGTGAGTTCATATGATTGAGGATAATGCAGATGAGCAGAAAGTTTATGCAAGTACCTGAAAACATTACCCCTCTCCTGCTATCCAAACAAGAAGCTAAACTCAGGTGGAAAGCCCTGATCTTCAACTTCCTAAGAAAATGGCACAATCAACAGTGTATCATGAAGAATCCTCTAGAAGTGTATCTACATAGACATAGTCTTCAATGCCCAAAATGTCTATAGTCAAGTGATAGTTTTGAAGTGAGATTGCTATTATTTTTGCTTAATTGAATAATAGTTTATAATGGTCAAATTTTTCCATACATTACTTTAACTTTATGCCAGTTTATCCACATAGGCACAGCTGACAGATAGGTCAGTACATAGAAGAAAGCAGATACCCATAAAGTAGACAACCTATAATATTTAAATAGTACGCCAAACAGCTCTGAAGAGTCAGAATTGGTTACTGCTCTGCAAACAGTAGCTCACTGTCTGAGTGACTGGGCACTGGTGTCCTTTGCAAAATGAGGCTGGAAGAGCTGCATGCTTTTAAGGCCAACCACCAGAGGAAAGGATATAAACTAACATGAGTTGAAACAGTTGACTATTAACTCAGAAAGGGAGAGAATCCACCAACAGCCCTTAACTTCATTTTGGAGTTGAAATGCTTATTATCTGATATTTCTGAAAGACTTGGTCAATTCACAATATCATCACTTTGAAATTTTGCACTCTCTCACCAAATGAAAGAGGAGGGGAAGGATCAGCAGGAGGAGATGGAGTGTGCAGAGATGGAGGAGCAAGAGGAAAAGGGGGAGGGGTCCAGCTTTCCTCCTCTATTGGCAAAGTCTTCGTGTGTAAGCATAGGACAGTCACTAACTCACCATTCCCCTGCCTCAGTATTCTCAGTTGCAAGAATTATAAGACTATACCACACCTTCTTCTACACTCCTTTCCGCCCCCAATTTTGTTTTCTTGCTCTAAATTCACTTCTTTCTGCAGGTTTTTTGGGGGAAGTGATTTAGTAGGCTTGTTTGTTTCTGTTGGATATTTTGTTTTTGAGACAAGTCTTATCTATAGTTTATTTATAGTTTAGGCAGACTCAAAATTTTAATCCCCCAGTATCAGCTTCCCAAGTCTTGGGATTATAGTTGTAAAATACCATGCCCAGTAAAATTTGGGATTTAATACATTTTATTAATTATTATTACATATTATTAATTATTATTCTTATTGTTATTATTAGCTATTTTCCTTATCTCCTTCAGCCAGGTCCTAGACATCACTTTGCTGGCCCCAGACTTTTGAAATACTACAGAAATGAAGCATGGAGGGTTTCTGGTAGAACATTCTTTCTCCCTTATCTTTAGGCTCAGTACCTGCAGACACAGTTATCATCATACTATGTATTATATGATTGAATGAAATACAGAAGTACTGCACAGGGACAGGGAAAAGTAATTAACCTTCGTTTGTAAATGATTCCCGTATAAGTACAGTACAGCATTGACCAACTGGGTCATTTATCATGAGTGACATCAGAGCTGTCACCAGTTTCCACAAATGATGAGTTGTAAACATCTCTGGGGACTGGTAGTGTTTGATTCTGTGATGAATTTTGAAAAGATTTACTCCTTTAGATAATGAGAACTACTCCAGAAAGTGCCCTATATTTCCCCCTCCCAAAATGGATCGTGTCGTCTTTTCATACCCCAAGTAGGACCTATATCTCCAGACTGGGACATGCTCTGCCTAAAAGGAGTACATCCGGGAAGCAGCAATAGACAGCATGGGTAAGCAAGCAGAGCGATGCCTCAGTTCACTCACTAGGACATAGAGGAGAAGCAGGCAATGGTGGAGGAAAAACAACTAATTGTTGCTCAGAGGAGCCATAGGATCCATTTGTGGAAACAAGACTAGAGGCCACTCAACATAGAAAAGATTAATAACCTGTTAGGATCGGGGCTTGCTTTGAGAAGGTTCTCATCTTCAAGGCCCAGGTCTCAAGGACTTGGGAGGGAATGACAGATGGAGGGACTTGGCTTTTGCATAGTCTATCACTGCCAAAGATGTTTAGTGCATTAGCCATGGTTACTCAGGTCTTCAGGTGTATGTAAACTTTACAGGTACACAATAAAGCCTGGGAACAGGATTTAGCTTAAACATGGTTCCTTCTGATACTCCAAAAACCAAACTCATGACTATTGAAGTGTGTAAAAGATGTGATCAGTAATGATAGGCTTGATGTTGGCTGTGGTCACTGAGCACCCATGATGCTGCGCATGGCATGCCTGAGGACCAGACAGGTGGGCTGGACAGGCTGGACGATGTATGTACAGAAGCTTGGTGAAAGTAAATGGAGTTTTGTATTCTGAAATGTACTTTTTTTTTCCTGAGCAAATGGAGGGTTTTAGACAGAAAAGTAATACTTTTAAATTTTCATTTCACACAAATCACCATACCAGTGGCTTGGCTACCTGGAAACATTAGCAGATTTCAGCTGGGGAGAGCTGGGAGTCACTGCTGTGACCTTGTGAGGGGAGGTAAGAGGGCCGGTGGGGATGCAGGAGAACGAGTGGATGAGAGGGATGTGAAGGCAGGAAGACCCTGAGTGGCCAATCCATCCCTCATGATGCTGGAAGAGGCCACGATGACTTGTGGGGTTTGGGCTTGGGAACATTTTAGAAAATTTAAAGATATAAAATACCAGAAAAGTAAAATTAGAAAACAGATGATTTTATGCAACTTTTAGCACAAATATAACCAGGCAAAGGCCTCGAGAAAAGGCATTATATCTCTTTTCTCATTTGTCTGGCAAAGTAGCAAATGAAAAGCTCACTGAAAACGCTACGCAAACCCAGTGTCTGAGAAGCATCTGCCTTCTGTTCCCTTGTACTTTATGTTCTACTTATAAGCGCTGGGATAAACACAGCCTACTGTCAAGTTGGTCTTCATCTTTACTAATATTCATGGACTAACTTCCCTTTGGGCTAGTCTTCAGTTACAGTCTAGATTCTATAACAGAAAGGGTAGAGGGAACATGAATGAGGGAGCTTTCCTTCCTTATTCTGTGTGACTTATTTCCCCAGGAAGAACTACAGCTCAGCCTGTAACCACAAGAGAAGGCCTGTGGCTCACTTTGTATGGGGTTTACAGACACAATGGCAACTCAGCCGACAGGGGAAGTGATGCTGTGTGATTCAGGCTTTGAAAGAAACTAATCTGCTCTATCATCATTCCCCAAAACCATGGGTAATATGATCTAAGATGTGTGTTCCACAGGGGTCACATCCACTTCACAGTGTAGCCCGTACTCTAGGGAACAAACCAGCACAGCTAGCTGAGGACCCCTGTGAATGAGTCTAAGATGATGAGCATAGTCTTCTCACTACAGACCATACAAGGCCAGCACCTTTCGGCCTTGTCAGTCAACAGGCCTCATCAGGAGTGCCTCCATCCCAGTTCACCAGCATCTCAAAGCAGGGTATAAAGGGAGTCAAGGGGTATCCCTGGAGGGAGTGGCTCTCAGACAGCTAGGTCCCAAGCGGATGACACCTCTGTGAGAAATGGCTTTCTAAATCTGGCACTGGGGTGTAAGAGAGTTGATGAGGTGAGTGATGAGCCCAGCCGCTCAGAGCTGTGATTTATAGGACTGGGCACTGCAGGCCTCTTAAGAAACTGAAATGCTAAACTCCATGATTCATATTTTCCAGTATGTAAAACATGCTTATAGTCCACTCACTGGGAGTCAGTGGCAAATAAATCGTCAGAGAGCCAGACTCTGGCACAGAGCAGACAAAAGCTGCCTTCAGAGAGGTAGAGAGCAAAGGTGAAGTGTGCATGGGTTTGGAGACCCCTACCTTTCCATGCTAGTTCCCCAAGGCAAGTCTGCCACCTGAGCAGCCCCACATGACAGACATCTTTGCCTTCAGTAATAGCGATGAGTGGTCAGGGCGTCGGCACAATGGCCCTCCAAACATTCAAAATGCTTATCTAGCTAGACCATTAGTAAGGGGGGGATAATAAGTGGTGCGCTAATTAGTTACCACCATTATTCTATGTCCTGGCAATTAGTGCTGAGAATTGATGCTGGGAGACTGTACCACAAAAGGCAGAGGAATGCTTCTCTTGGAGACACACACTGTTCATTTCACATCAGTGGTTCATTGTACCCTATCTGCTCAGCGTATGGCAGGTTTTACTGAGTGGGTTGAGTGTGGATCAATTAGAGCTCATGGACCAAACTCAGCCTGCCATTTGTATTTGTGTGCCTCATGGTTTTCATACTTAAAATTGTTGTTAGAAAGTATAGAGTATCTTTGTCATGAGATATTCAAATCTTATTAAAACTCAAAATCTCAATAAAATTTATTAGGGTCCCTTTGCTTATATATTATTATCTGTGGTTGATTTTGAACCATGATGGTCCAGGGGCTGACTTGTGGAGCCATGCTAGATCCTTTGACCCACAAAGTATAAAATATTATCTGGTCTTTTACAAGGGAACGTTGCCAACTCCAGGCTTACAATTTCACCCCATAATCTGGCATAGCTAACCCTACCTAAACGCTTGTTGTGCCCTGTCATCTCCAAATACCATCAGGGACCCTGTCAGTGTCTTCATATCTCATTATTAGTCAACTTCTCCTCTGAGCAGTAGCAATGGAAGAGGAGTGATTTCACAGTAAGTAAACATGACTTCTGGGTGAGCAGCATCAGCTGGGGTGAAGGCTGGAAATGTGGATGGCTAAGGTCAATGAGACAAAAAAGTACAGTGGAATCCCACCTGAATCCATCTATACATTGTCTTAGGCTTTGAGGACCAGGTTTAAGGACAAGGGTCTGAGCTCTAGTTCCATGTGAGAAGATATTATCACAAGGTTCATAAGCTTTCAGCGAGGTTTAACAGTATTGGGCAAACTTAGGATCTCTAACTGACCTCACCAGTCAGAGATACTTTTTTCTGGATCTGGATGTCTATGAGAACTGAGGCATCGGAGAGGGACAAACATTAGGCATAGCGTATAAGAGAGCCCTGATGGCCTACAGGGATAGCCTGTTAACATTCTCTCTATTTTCTGTTTCCTCTTTGCTTTCTGTAGTCGCGTCTCTCCCGGTGCAGAAGGCAGGCTTGAATGAAATGTGAAGCACTCAAAATAGCATTAGGTACAAGAGCTCAGAACCAGAGGCACATTTGCAGTCTTAGTCCCTAAATGTCTTGCTGGGGACTCCCAGGAACTCCTCTGTGGCTTGAAGGCCTCAAGGGCCTAGCAAACAAGTTACTAAAGTATGTGACAGAGGTCTGAATTCTCAGTGTATGGGAGATGATACTGTAAACCAGAACTAGCCACCCTGGAGAATATATGGAAAGAGTGGTCCACGGAGATCGGGGATGAGAAAGACCTAATCAGCAGGGGCAGAGGAAGTTGTGGGAAAGCTGCCACACTAGGGCTACATTTACACGCACATTTCAGAGCATGACCTTTAAGAAAAGCAGTTGAAATTCAGTGACGCTGATATCTTTTTAACGCATCAGCAAAACTTGAGGCGGAGCAGTAATGCCTTCTTTCCTTCCTCAGTTGCCCTTTTAGCTAAAATGTTTAGTCTAGGAGGAATTAAGTTGCTAGAACAAGAAAGGGGAGGGGTGTGGGGTAAGAGCAGGGGGAGAAACAGGCTGCATGGGACAGCCCGGATCTCAGCAGCCTTCCTGGCAGCCGACTCATCCTGCTGGATACAATAGGGCACAGGATGACTCTGTTGTAACTCAGCTCCCTATGCCCGTTAGACTTGACGTTCATAGCTGGGAGGTAGAGAGATGGATCTTGGAGCTCTCCTTTCAGACTAACCAAAGGCAGTTCAAGTGTGCTTACTGTTCAGGTTTGTCCAGAAGCTTCAAGTCTTCTTCTTTGGATGTCTCATAGTACTTTCTTATTTTTGTCAGTTCATCCTCCTGGGCTCGCTGCATCAACAGGAGAAACAACATACACACACAGACACAAAGTTAAGAGGATTCGCCTGAAACCACAGGAATCTAGATGTGATCCCATGCCATCACCTGGGCCTCACTCCAGGCGTAAGAAACTCTACAGGTTGGGCCCAAAAAATCCTTCTGGGTCATTCTAATACATGTTTAAGTTTGGCATCTACCAGCTAACGAAAATGGTCATAACAAGTGTGTGCACGCAGACATACAGGCCAGGGAAGCTGACTGCTATGTCTGAATCTCTTTTAGGCAGCTGTGGGGCAAGCTGTCCTAATTTTCCTTTCCCCAGAACAGTAGTTCTATCTTGCATTTCCCTGTCTCACACAGGCTTCATACACTATAATATGCAGTCACCACCTTTCCTTTTCCTGAGTTTCGTTAAGTGTATGTTGTTTACCTTTGGTTGTCTAGACTATCACATTCTTCATGATTTACCCAACATTTCCAGTTGTATACGGACTGCCTCTGCTGCATGTTAACAAGCACTGGCCATGTGCATACTCTTGCACCATGGCATCAACAGAAAGCATCAGAAGGCACCATGCTTTTAACAGAGTTCTTTGTCATCGATTACTATGTCCTCATTCATATAATTCCCCAAGGCTTGCACTATGTTCCTGGTAGTGAGTTTCTGACTTGGAATCCACATGCTACCCTCTAGGCACTCAACAGTGTACTGTTAACTCCCAATGGTCTGATACTTGGAAGCCTTTGGGTTTACTTGTGAGAACTATACTAATATATACAGGCAAAACCAAAAAAGGCCACCCCCAGTACTAAGTAATTTCTTATGTACCTGCAGAATATGAAAATAAGGTAAGGAATAGGTGGGTTATATTAGACTGTGGAAAACTAAGGCCCCAAATATCTAACTGAGTCATCTTGTGACTTGAGTGACCATAGCATGTCACTGAGGCCTGGTTATCTAAGGATTACCATGGTTTAGAGAATCCAGCTCCATCCATGTATCTACAGCCTGAGTGAACCAGAACAGTTGACAATCATGGGAATTCTGATTCTCCAGTGTGACCTCTTCACAAGAGCTTATGAACTCCTCTGGCTGTTTCCACTTACAATAAAAATCTAAATGCTTTGTACATTACAGTGATGTTTCTTAAACATAATTCATCATGCCCCTAAACTGTGGGAATCAGCTTTGTGAGAGGGGTTCTAGGTTCCATGAGAAAAACTGACAGGATACTTAGGTCAAATTCTTGTTCAATACAAAAAAAAAAAAATCAAGTAGAGTCCCACTATAATCTACAATTGTAATAAAAAAAGGAAACAGGGTAAGTTGTTTAAGCAACTGGCCCAACCAATATCACCAAGGGAGCAATAACAGAGCTAGGCCTCAAACTTAGGACTATCTTATCTGATTTTAAAGCTAGAGTACACAGATGACATCCAAGGCTGCCTCCTGCATTTAATGTTATCAGTTCATCTGGTAGGAGAGCAATCATCCAAGAGTCTGTTCAGATCCCCATTCCTCAGAGCTAGATACTAGAGGGTGCCAGCATCAGCATCAAATAGGAGGCTTGTCTTCATTCACCCTGTCAGCAAGTACTAGAGCTAGACCACATTGGTGGTCTCTGCCTTGAATCAGTCTGCCTTGCTGGTGTCAGAAGATCTACTAGGACAGTCACTAGAGTGAGATTTAATGTGCAAATCTACATCTCTGTGCCTGAATCTCTTCCTCAAAGAGGTTTAAATACTACCAAAATATGGGAATGGCTTTGTGACATCAAGGGTAGGAGGGAAAGACAGAGCCTCCAGCCCTGTGTGCTTTTCACACTCACATTTTCATATAAGGCCGCCAAGGTCTCCAGGTCAACCACGGAGTCATCCACGTTAAATATGGCTGACAAAAACAAAGAGGAAAAAGGGATAAGGGCTTTGTCTTGATTCCAACACCAGCGTTCACCCCAGGCCCCACTTCCCCACAATATAACCCTGCACTTCTTGTACAGGCTCTGCCTAACAGTCTGTGTTTCCCCTTCCTCTCATACAGGAGGTGGGGGGGGGGGTTCATTTGAAAACAAACCCAAAATGGTCCCTAGGGCTGGCCTGAGCCTTGGCCCTGCCTTATTTAATTCTTTGGGCTTTGAGTCCTTTCTGCAGTTTAATTTAGGCTCCACAGGAGAAGTGTTTGTGCTTTTAAACTAAATCAGTTTGGAGGTTTGAAGTACAATTTTAAATCGTTCTTCCCAGCTGGTAATTGAAGAGATTTACCACTTAATGCAAAAGAATTGACTCTTACCCATTACCAGGAAGAGAAAGAAAAGGAAAAAAAAAAAAGACAATGTTGGCAAATTAAATGAATTCAGGCATGTGATTTCAGGCACCTTTCTGTGGCTACCGCAAACATCTTGTTTGGATTAAAAAGACAAGAAAGAATAATCGTTGCATCAACAGCAAATTAAGATCATAGAAACCTCCTACGAGCCAGTATCAAGGTACGTTTTTATTCCCAAGTTTTTGTTAGGATTCTGCCATTCACTATGTCATTTTGCTGTGAGCTATATACTTATGATATCATTTGTGGAGGTTCCTTCCCATATAGGTTCGGATACATATGCAACAGATTTTTAAAGCCTGAATGGAATTGGCTATCAAAGTGTTTGAAATTAGCCGGGCCCACATCTTTAAATAATTATTCAAAACTAATAAGGTTTGTCCTCTACCACCCTTCCCTGGCTTTACATTGTGAAATTAACCAGCACGCTAGTAAATTTTCTCTGTGGCAGGCTAATTAATTTTATTAAAGCAGCCAGTGATACTTAGAAAGCCTTAAACTCCTGTTCTCACCTCGTCTGATCCTTCCATTCCACCACATTTCCCTGGAGTATGCAAAGATCAAGGTGAAGGGCAGGTTGCTTCTGAATTTGTTTTTTGTTTTGTTTGTTTTTTTGTTTGTTTGTTTTTTTCCTTTCCTCTGTCGTTTAGAATCACAGGGACACATTACAATTTTTGATAAAACACCAGGAAGAACATTGAAAACTCCTTCATAGGCCACCTTTTCTCTAACTTGTATGCTCACCCACAAGTTATTTCTAGACTTGTGGATGGGGACTGAGGAAGATTTGGAGACTACTAACAAGGTTCTACCAAGGGACAAAACTGCACTTCGAGAAAAGCCAGGGTCACCACCCTACCCCAACCCCAATGTGGTTTGAGAAAAGACTCCTGCAGTGTTGGTGGTAATAATACAGAGTCACTAATTGGTCCGATGGATGATTTCTGAATGGCTATTGTTTTTAAACATAAACAACAACAACAAAAAAGACAGGAACAATGTTTCTTTTGTGTGAACCTCAATGTTCTGTTTTTAAAATTAACTGATATAAATGAATAAGAAAAGACACAAATATAAAGGAAGTTTTAAAGGGAATGTTTGCTTAAAAGAATCATATACATCCCGAGGGCTGTATCTGAGCTTAGAGAGCATAAATCAAGCAGTCTCTGTCACCAAGAAAGAGGAGCTGAGGTATTCCACAGTCTTCTACACTGAGTAAGTACTTGGCTTTAAATAGTCACATGGTTGATTTTAAACAGATACATGGTTTGGTGGTTTGTACTACTGCGTACCAGACAGCAAAAAGAAAATATGAAGAAAGCATAAGCCCAGAAACAGCCTGAGCTTTGGAGAAGGTTATTCACCCATTCATCCTCCCAGGCGCAAAATAATTATTAGTTGAGTGTGCCTTAAAATTAGTTTTATAAAAAATTGCTTTTCAAGACCATAAATATTTCTAAGACAAAATGTTGGTGACACCTCAGGTATCTGATCTCATGATTTTAATGTCTCAGATTGAGGGCCAGAACATACATAACTGCAGGACTTCAGGTGGCAATCAGTTTTAAGGGAAGTAACCTAGGCTGGGGCTATAGGTTAGTGATAAAGCAGCTGCCTAGTGTCCACGGGTTCCTGAGTTTGATCCTTAGCACCCAAAAGGACAGGAAAACAAAAACAACAAAGAATAAAGCAGGCAAAGGTACGCAACAAGAGGTCATGTGATCAAGACAGGCTTCTTGAGGGAGAAGACAGTTAAGATCTAAAACAGGTGAATATCTTGGCAGAAAAACATTCCAGGAAGAGATAACTGCAAAACCAAGATTCTTTTGTGGGCGAAGTGGGTGGGGGTGGGTTCTGAAGAACAAAATGACTCCCATGAACAGAGAGAACCTTATTCATTTAAAGAGCTAAGTGGTAGGTTGTTGGGATCTGAGGTTACCTGTAAAATCGACCTGATATCCCTTACTCCTTACTGAAAGCAAATATTGAGTGAAATAAGTTTTATATATGTCTATCTTTGTTTCTGTAAACGTTTATATATATATATATATATATTTACATATATAAAATATAAATATATTTATATATAATAAAGTTATATATAATATATAACATATATAATAAAGTTATACATATACATATAGCATATAGTATATATAATACCTGTAGACCTGTGGACACTAGGCAGCTGCTTTATCACTAACCTATAGTCCCAGCCTAGGTTACTTCCCTTAAAGCTGATTGCCACCTGAAGTCCTGCAGTTATGTATGTTCTGGCCCTCAATCTGAGACATTAAAATCATGAGATCAGATACTTGAGGTGTCACCAACATTTTGTCTTAGATATTTATGGTCTTGAAAAGCAATTTCTAGAATATATATATATATCACAGCACATAAAGTATAAACTCATGACAGAACCTAAGAATGGCCTGTGATGAATATGGCTTCAAATATACAAGCTCACATATAAATGCCTTATCTCCTAATGCCTCTAAGAAGTGGAGAAGACTGGAACTACTAGGAATTCATACTATAATTTCAATTTCCAATAACTCTTCAGAGTTTCAGATAGTCTTTCCTATGAGACCTTCTTGGTCCTTCCAACAAAGGCATAACTCAGGAAGCTGTATCAATACGTCAAGTACAGGCTCAGGTATCTCAAAGTTTTGAGGACTTCTGTCTGAAATGAAAGAAGATGCAATGTATCAAGACCTCTTGATACAAATAACCTAATGCTGACCTCTAGGTCCAATTCTTGCCCAAGCCATCCATCCTTCATCAAACCACCAGAGGCAGCTAGCTGGCTAGCTGTTTAGGTAATGACTAAATGAGTTAATCAGTGCATCAATTCATTAGCTAACTGTTGGTTTGTTTCTTTGCAATGCTGGAGGCTGAACCTAGGGCCCAGCACATGCTAAGCAAATGGTCTATCATGGAGCTACCCCCCAACATGCCTAACACGTGTTTAATACATGTCTCAAGATTACTTGGTGTTTACAATACCTCAGTTGCCCCTCTTTCGAATATTGGATGAGATTCGATTCCTCATCCTGGTTTTAAACCTCATTCTGTCCTCCATGCTGGTAGTCTCATCTCTGGCCTCCTCTTCCTCCTCCTCCGTTCGGCCTGGGTGCAACTCCCCATCTCTCATCATACCCTAGCTCCTTCCCTTTCCTAACCTACCAAGACCCAGGACTCTGAGATTCCCTGACCACTCTATCTGCAATGAAATAGGAATAGGGAGTGCTGTGGGGGGTGCCAGGGGGAGCATGCAGCACGACTCCCAAAGGCTGAATATTCTTGCTCAGAATGAGGAAAGTTTTTTGTTAAGGAGAGCTTTGGGTCTTGGGAAAAAAAACCCCACTGGGACACTGAGGTGAAAAAGGGCAGGATTTAGACAAATCAAAATATTATATTGTGAAGTCTGTATTTGAATTCAGTTTGCTTTGCTCCATTTTGGTCGTCCATAAATCGAGTTACCTTGCTGTTTACTCATTGTCTCATGACAGGGAAGACACACTCCTGAAAGGCGGACATGGCTACATTTAATAAACAGTTCCCCTTATTAAAGAATGAAGAAGACAGGTGCTGTTCCCACCATTCCACCTTCACAAACATTTTAAGAAGAAATGTCACTTCAGGAGGAAAGTGACAGGTAAAGTTAACTGGTACATTGCTTAGTCAGGTGCCTAAACTACCCATTTGGTAATCATCATTAAATAAGCCAAACTGTTCTCAGGCAAAGACAATTTCTAGATTTACCATAAGTGCCAGGGAACATGAATTGGAAAACTGTGAAAACTGGAAGGGTGTGAGACAGTGGAGGAAGGTGGTGCAGATGGGCTCATAGAATGCTCTGGAAAGTATATTGACTTGAAAATAATTAAGTAAAGAGACTGAGGTGATGGGTCTGCAGGTGGCTGAGGATGAGACCTTGTAGAATTTAGAGTCCTATGAAAGGATTTCATATGAGCTTTTCATCAAGAGTTCTTGATAAGCATCGAAGTTGCTGGGCAGTTTTGTGCTAGGCAGGTGTGTACTAGGCCCAAATTTGGGCATTTTAGCACCTAATACAGTGGCTAAGGTATGGAAAATCTCCATGATGCAAACAGAAAGAAATGGGAATAGGGTGTCTCTCTGGAGCACTCCTTGGTGCTATCCCTGATGGGCTCTGGAGTTCCCTCCAGTAACGGGGAGGGAAAATCGTACTGAGACTTCAATAAACCCAGATCTAGGGAGAAGCCCCCATGCCACCCCCACAGAAGGGCACAGAGAACAGATCTTTTTCCATTGGTCCATGGAGGAGCAGGGGAAAGAGAATGCTAAAGGAGAAACAAAAAACAAAACATATGGAGGTCAGTTTGGTCCTTTTGATGTGTTTCCAGTAAAGCTGATCATGTCAACCAGATACGGATCCAAAGATTAAAATACAATTCAAAGACAGGGGAAACAGTTTTAAGAGATCTGGTTAATCCTGGAATCTTCAGGAGATTAAATTACTTCTATTTTTTTCTCCTTCCTATAGCAAGTTCATGTAAGGTTAGGCTGAGCCATGGGACTAA